CGGCCGTGGCAACGGATGGTCTATTCTTTCTCTTAGACGCTGCCCTCCCCTGTGTATGCACTTTCTGTCGTCCGCCAATCGAGACAAAATACGCCTGGACAATTTCAGGCACGGATTCCCTCGTGAGTGTTAGTAAGAAAACAGAATGACGCGTTTGTTGACTCCCTCGTGAGTGTTAGTAAGGAAACAGAATGACGCGCTTGTTGACCCTCTCATACTCACCGCAGACTCTCCTCCGGTTCCCATGTCAGATCTTTCTTGCGATCATAGCCTTCCCATTTGACCCGAAGCTCCAGTTTTCTCTACGAAACTAAGTTGAGAGATGTGATCGCGTCGCAGATTACACAAGCGCTAACCTCTTTATTAATCCTATGGCTCTTTATCTTTTCGACATTGTACCTAGAACTGTCTTAGCTACCAACATACAACGCCTACACAAGGTGCATCACATACCATTCACCGTCCCCAACGCCGCCGTCGCCACTAGAAGCCACAGGTTTGTTTTGTCTGCATAGAGAAAGACATAGTAGAGCGAAAGGCACTGTATTCGCTCAATGGGCAGGACTGTCTAGTTGTCAAATAAAAATGCAGTTGAGAAATATACGCCGATAAAATTATCGCGGATAGTTACTATGCAAGTGAGCGCGTGGTGTTATCGATTCCGGGTGTCATATTGTGGTACGGAAAGAAGAGTTGCGACTTCTCTGCTGCACGAACCTTTCTCCGTGATGAGTCAGCCGGGTGGGTTCGTGTTAGATTCTCAGTGACTACAAACATATGAAGGCTGGCCAACCACCTGAATTTATTCAGGTGGTTGGGGAGAAAAGATAAAAGACCTCAACTCTTCAAGTTAAACAAGAAGAGAACGGACAACAATACATCACAATTTTTTATCTCAATAATAGTGCCACAGTATTTCTGACAGTTCGTTGCAAAAACAAGCTTGGGTACCGTTCCACTCCCGCCGGACGCCATCACAAGTTTAAGCCATACGCCCTTTCAAAACGGCCAGGGAAATTTGACGCGCTAACAGTTATCAATGAGCATGTCCAATTGTGTGACGAGTTGAGCTACAGACAAAGTGGGCCATTCCGTGTCTCCGCAATGTCGGGTTAGACACTAAGCCACGAACGCTCGTGGCAACATCAACAATGGAAGGCAACACGACTGCTAGATTGCTCCAATACAACATTCCATCACGTCTCTCAACCTTGGAAATCATCTAATCTTTGGCATGGTTCTGCGACCCATTCTTTGGTGCAAACGACAGAAGCACATTGAGGTTGAAAGCCCCGCGCTTAGCCAACTTTGGCAATGCCACATTCTTCATTGTATTTCACCATGAATGACGGCGCCCCAGCTCCAGACCGTCCAACGGCGAAGAAACTGCCCTTCAAAGCAACAGCCTTGCGCAAGGCGGCCTTGCTGAACGTTGGGACTATAGCTGACAAGAAAGGATCGGAGAATGATGGACTTGACTTATTTCGCAGATCGAAGGAGATGGAGCCTCTCATAGCTGCGGATCACGAGAGGAGAATAAAGAAGCAGAGGCAGGAATACACGTGTCGCATGTCAGCTGAGTCGTCAGCCAAGAGAGTCCTGGACGCGCATACCGAAAAGGATGTTGTGGCAGAGGCGGAATCTGGAAAACCACCCCAAGAACCTCAAAACAGCACCCCAGTTACTAGTGAGCTTGCTGCAGAGGATGAATTATCGGCCAGGCTAGTATGCAGAAATTTCCTTGATACGTTTGCAAAAGTAGCTTATACATTCTAGTGAGTCGGCCATGCCACCGGTATCGATTCGAGCACGACTAGACTCAACACCTTCAGCGAATCCACGGCTTCATATTGACCACATGCCAGACCTCTCATCGTCCACCCGAGTGACGCGGTTCCACCCAAATCGAGCAAGATGCGGGAGCCCTTGCGATGACGCTCTTACCCCGAGCCGCCTGTCAAGAGCATTTCTTAATTCCAACGACGAGGCTAACATCCAGATCGCGCCTGCACCAACAACACAACGAGCCGCCTGTCAAGAGCATTTCTTAATTCCAACGACGAGGCTAACATCC